CACATATATATTATATAAACGGTTTTATATGAGTTTAAAAATTTATGTAAAACTAAATGAAGTTAATTATACCGTAAAGCAATTTATAGATGAAACACAACTTTTTAAATGCATTTTTTGTTTATGATTTATATTTTTTTTTAAACAATTTTAAAAAATATTAATTAAATTAAACTTTTTTTTTGTTAATTAATTTTCAGTGCGTTTTATAATAATAAAATTTAATTATTATTTGTTAAATACTTGTAATATATTTCATTTAACCCCTAAAACCATCGTTTGTTATAATATTTTGAGAGTAATGTGCAAAGAGTTTATGTTTTGAAAAGTTTCTAAAGTTTTAAGTGAATTTTGACAAATGTTTGAACAAAAGTTTCAAAACTTTTTTACATCTCAAGGATTTGGCGACGACTCCACTGTATTGCGAGCCAAAAGATATTTCATCGCGATCTTCATCAGCCAACGACCCGGACTATGCCATTCCCGATGTGGCCGTCACTATACCAGTGGTCAGCAATAATAACAACACAAACACTACTATACAACAGACGCCGACATTCACCGGCAAACCAATGCCACAACTGTTGAGCCAACGATACTATGCTTCCACTGATGTCATCAAATCGCCAAAACTTCAGACAAACAGTCTTATAATGAAACGCAAGTTAACCAATGGTGACAACGATATGAAGTCATTTAAGTACAGCACTGGTGTGAACGACGCGATCGTTGATCTCAAGTGCATTCCGCAGATCAGCGAAGAGGAGATCCAATTGATTCGTTCGCCTTTCGGTTCGTCAAAATTTGGCGAAATATCGATTGGAAAATACAAATACAAGATTAGATCCCAATGTGAGGAACCGGTGGTCGACGAGACACTTGTCGTGTTGAAGGCGTTGAGGAACGAGAAGCTGAGGAATGAGTTTTACCACGAAATGAAGTCTAAATGGTTTATATCAGCCAAAAGCGAACGAATCGCTAAACTCTTTGGTTTTGTTACGACCGCTGATTACACGGCAATGGTTTTAGAGGTCGGCGACTGTGATCTGAACCACTTTTTGCGAAACTGTGATAACAACCAAATCGGGTTTGTAGTCATATACAGTATATTTTTCTACCCTAATGTTTACACTATATATTACTAAATGATAGTTAACTACACTTTTTAAATAGATTTTTAGTTTCCCTAATAGTCTTACGCATTGTTTAGCAATTTGTTTAATACTTTGGATTTTTTGATATTAATTTTTTAAGCCTAACATAAAGAATAGTGTTTCTTAACCGTTGGGATAATTTAGTAAATATTTGGTTTCATAAATCAAATTCAATGCAAATCATGTGTTGAGTCACATATAGAGTATTAGTCGGGTATATATTAAACACATTGAATTGGGAACAGATTGTTATCAAACCTCAACATTTGGTCCTTTCCTATGATTACTTACATTTCGTAATAATATTTAAATGATATTCAAACTCACACTCCGTTTATTCTCGCATACACTGTATGTTTATATCATATCTCACACACTCTTCTCTCTCTCCCTTTCACACACATTACACGCCAACAGCTATTCAACACTGATATACATCGCCAGCGAAGTGGCGTCGGGTATGAAATACTTGGAAACGTTAGGCTATGTTCACAAAGACATAGCGGCCAGAAATATATTGGTTTACACAAACAATTTGTTAATAAAAATCGGCGATTCCGGCGCTCACGCCTTAGCCAACAAAAGTGATTACATGAAGGGTATAGCGATTCGGTGGGCGAGTCCTGAAGCCCTTATACACGGAATATTCACTAATAAATCAGACGTCTATTCGTTTGGCGTTACGTTTTGGGAGATATTAACGTATTGTTCGCTCAAACCCTACCATCATTTGGACGACCAGTCGTTTCTCAAATCGTTTGTTGATATTCACGAACAAAAGGCCGATATTGTGAGCGCTTTATTGTTTACTTAAACTTATTATATAATGTCGACTATCTCTCAATCCATTTCCCCATTTATCTAATATATTATCTATACGTTTCTGAAACACATGTTTTGATCTGATATTCATTTTTCTCTTCATTTCACTAATTTCATTGTCAGGACTGCACTAATAAAGCCATTTATTACCAGCCCTTCACTGATGCGAATGATGGCCAAAGAGTGATGGCTTTGCCCAGACCTGAGGGCTGTCCAAAAGAGATATACGATCTGATGGTCGAGTGTTGGCAGACAAACGATGTCTCCCGACCCACGTTTAGAGAGATATCGCTGTTTCTTAACCGCAAAACAATTGGTTTCCAAAAGCCTTCCCTTTGAAACACTTGTTTACGCTTTTATTTCATCATTACTTTTCATTTGTGAATATCAGTAACAATTCAAACAAAAATCTCAAAAATCAATTTTGAATAATTTTACACAAAAAGCACAGTATTTTGATGTGAATATTCATGTCTTGTTTTAATATGACTGCCATTTCTGATGCCATAATATATACAGTATGTTATCGTGAATTGCCTTAAAATCTAATCAATAAAATTCAACACAATTTCCAATTCAATTAAGTGTCGGTCACATAAACCGGACGTTTTTTGATCGCCTGATTATAACAATAATTCAATTGTATTTCCGGTTTCGTATCACTCGATGACAATTTTCTCACTTTATTTGTAAATTATTGATCAAAACTCCCTTTTATTTATTAAAACTATAAAAACATAACTTTAATACAGAAAACTTTATGTTAAATATAAAAATAAAATTATAACAAATTTATAGCGAATATAAAATGAATTTATAAAATAATTTTTTTGTTGTAAATATTGAATATTATGTGTATTTCTGAATACAAATCCAATAAAAAATAAATAAAAGTTTAATTACTAAATAATAAATATTTGAAATTTAATTATTTTTATTATTGATTTTTAATTCATTAGTAAATTGGTGTTAGTATTGATTTGAAGACACAGTTGTCATAATCTATCGTAAAACACAATATATAACCTGTTTTTTGTTTTCATTCAATTTGTCTGTTGTTGTGGAGAATCAGTGCTGGAATTGAAGTAAAGTTTTGCAACAAATGCCTGAAATGCTTGAGTGAAGAGAAAATACTCACTCAAAGTAATACTTTTGTGTTATGTGACTGACTCTCAAATGCATCTCACAGTACAGTATATATTGTGAGCGCAAAATTTTTGCGACGTTATGCAATCATTTGTGACGTCGACTACAGCACTACTACAGTGGCTGTGAGCCATGTAAATGTAGTGCTGTAGTAGTGCTGTGCTGTGCTGTAGTATACGTTACAAATGTTTATATAACGTCGCAAAAATTTTGCGCTCACAATAGTAATAGTAATTTCTTTACATAAATGACCTTTTCTATTATAAACGCTATGTGTACGCTGGTGTACATTCTGGAAATACTAGTTCTATAGTATAGCCCATATTCTGAAATTGTCGATTCTATGTTCTAACATCTTCATCTTCACAGTTCATTCTTGTTCTATGTATAAAACAATACACATTATGAAATATATACTCGACAATTACTGTAGTTTGGATCAACATTAAAATTACAGTTACTGTTATATAAAGTGGGAAACAACAATTTTTAATACTTGAATAAAAGTTACTTACTCTTATTTTTTGCAATCTAGAATTATTTGATTATATTTTAACCAAAATTGTAGTTAAAATATTGTTAGTTAAAAATTATTCTCATAATTTAGTTATTTAGTAAGTAATGTCTAATTTTATATCGCAATCAATTTGTATTTCCATTTTAGAGTCAAAAATTAAGAATAATTAGTAAAACAATATTCTAGGTAGAATGACAAGTGTATTTTCTATAATAACATTGACATATATTACACTATTTGAATTAAATTGAAGTTTAAATTGTTTATAGAGCAAATTGTGATATTATAATGTATGCACATCTTATTTATATAAAATTAAATTAATACTGATATTTTGTAAAATTCCAAAAAGCCAAGATCAATCTTAAATGTACAATAGTTTAATTTGAAAAATTTGAATATTGTTAAAAATATTGTTAATAAACATGATTGGATAATATAAAGGTATTTGACATTATGTGATAAAAATTAATGTATTAAATGTTATTTATAAATACAATACATGATAGTTTACTAAATTGATGTTTTTTGGACGAAATGAAATCAATATAAATATGAAATGTTTAAAGATTTAGACAAATGTTTAAATAAATATATTATATCAACAAATAAATGACAAGAAATGTGAAGATCACTGGAACTGAGTCTATGTCACAAACTTATGATAAAATAAATAAATGATAAGACATCCGATAGACAACGCATTCAATTCAATGCAATTTCAAGTGTTTTCAATTGAAATGCGAAAATTACAATATTTTATT